TCTGTGGGTTTCTCCAGCATGGTCTTGACCGCTTTGCTCATCACTCCTCCCTCTCTACAAATGGATTCCGGGAGTTCTGCCAGTGTTTAGGAAACAAGGAAGACCCTAAGAGAGACATACATGGTCCCCCAGAGAAGGGGAAAGGGACAAGATCTTCTGTACAAATTGGGAGCATGGGGGGGGGAGAGGGAGTTAGGAGAAAGAGAAGGGGAAAAGAGAACTGGAGAGAAAGAAATGAGGGAGCAGGAAGATTGAGTCGAGGGAAGAGTAGAGGAGAGCAAGAAAAGAGACACGTCAATAGAGAGAGCCGTTATAGGTTTAAAGAGAAATCTGGCACTAGGGAAATGCCCAGAGATCTACAAGGATAACCTCAACTAACAATCTAAGCAATAGTGGAGAGGCTACCTTAAATGCTCTTCCCTGATAATGAGATTGATGACTACCTTATATGCCATCCTAGAGCCCTCGTCCAGTAGCTGATGGAAGCAGAAGCAGACACCCACAGAGATCTTCTTCCCAAGCACTTGTTTGAACAAGTCAGGTCTCTGAATCCTTTCCCACCAAAAATTCACACAGCAGACTCTCCCATCAGAATCCTCTGGTTTGTGGGAACCTGACAGTTGTGACTTTGGTCTCTGGGAGTTGGGGTCTTCCTTTCCATTAGGGACTTTCTGTGACTAAAGCACAGAGGAGGTGCACAACACCTGCTGGCCTATTTGCCTTTGTCATAAGGCTGTGTCTTCCCAGCCCCACCCATAGGAAAGACTATAGCCAAGTTCAGCAGCTCATTTCTTGTATTCCTGTGAACTTGGTAGTGCAGGCAGTGACCCCCTACAACTCCTTCTGGGCTGTCCACTCCCATGTACTCATGAAGAAGCTCAGCCTCAGACCCTCTCATCACATTTCTGCCTCTATCTCCACAACCTGTATGCTTACTGCCCAGTGCATGTGGGGGCTACAGTCACATTTCTGCTTCTAGATCCAAAAATTAAACACAACACACACACACACACACACACACACACACACACACACACGTGTTACATTTCAGCCAACAAATATTCTAGGGAACTAAGTAGAACATTATTTTTGAGATAATTTTTATTGTTAATTAAATGTGTGCGTGGAGTGTGGTGCATGCCAGTGCAGGGGCCCGTGGAGGCCTGAGGTGTCAGATCCCCCTGGAGCTGGAGTCACAGAAGACTGTGAGAAGCCAGGCATGGATGCTGGAAACTGAACCCAGGTCCTCTGTGAGAGCATGTGTGCTCATAACTGCTGAGCCCTCTCTCCAGCCCCGAGCAGAAAGTTCTCAAAGTAATAAATATTTGAGAAGATGCTTAAATTCCCAGCCATGAGAAAAACAAATATTAACAGCATTTTGAGGCTCTATCTTAGAATGATTCAGTCAGAATGTCCAACATCAAAAAAGGAAACAAATACTAACAACAGATACTAAAAAGGGTAGAGAGAAGAGGGAACCCTTATTTACTGCTGCTGAGAGTGTAAACTCGCGCAGCTGCTGTGGAGTCAGTACAGAGGTTTCTCAAGGAAAAAAAAACTATTAATAGATCTACATGTGCTACACCTTTAACACACCTTACACAAACTCAAGGACTCTAAATCAGCATGCCATGAAAATACATGTACATCCAGACTTATTGCTGCAGTGTTTCCAATAACTAAGAAATGGGACCATCCCAGACATCCATCAATAGACAAGTCCACACACACAATGAAATTGTACTCAGCCATAAAGAAAATTTATACTGTGACATTTGTAGCAGAATAGCTAGAACTGCATCGTTGTGTTAAGGGAAATGAGCCAGACTCGGAAATACAAATACCGCATTATTCCCTCTTATGTGGATCCTAGATTTTAATCCGTGTGTGTGTGTGTATGTGTGTGTGTGTGTGTGTGTGTGTGTGTGTGTGTGTGTGTGTGCCTATATATAATGTCATGGAGCTAGAAAGGTGACAGTGAGAAGAGACAAAGAAATTCTAAGGTATGGGGACGGACAGAAGGAAAAAGAGGAATGGGCAATGGAATGTTTGGTTCATGGGGAGGGGACTGCTGGTGGGAGACGAGGACTGGGCGCGTAGTGCATTTGCCCTTCTGGCTTTGGGTTACCTCACTTAGGATGGTTTTTTCCTAGTTCTGTCCATCAGCCTGTGAATTTTCAGATGTCACCATTTCTTACCACTGAGTAGTACTCCATTGTGTAAATATACCACATTTTCTTTATCCATTCTTCAGTTGAGGGGCATCTAGGCTGTTTCCAAGATCTGGCTATTACAGATAATGTTGCTATGAGCATAGTTGAGCAAATGTCCTTGTGGTGTGAGAGTGCCTCTTCTGGGTACACATCCAATAGTGGTATGGCAGGGTCTTGAGGTAGGTTGATCTCAATTTTCTGAGAAATCGCCATACTGATTTCCAGCTGTACAAGTTTGCATTCCCACCAGCAATGGAGGAGTGTCCTCTTGGAAGAAGGGGACTGGGAAGAAGGCAGTACACAAACAAGTGCTGGGAGTTGGGAAGAAATCAACACAAAGTCTGTGTGGAAATACCACACTGAAACCCACTACTTTGTATGCTAACTTAAAACACTAATAAATCAGTATTAGGTAAATAAATTCAGCTTTAATAATCACCTAATTTTAATTTTAGTATCAGTTGAATAACAAGTACTTCAAGAGTCTTGGGGCTCTAAGATTTGGAATTCTTAATGGAAAGCTATGTTTGCCTATTATTAATAATCATGTATTTTTAATGTTTAGAATAAAGAGTAAGATGTGTGGCTTTCTTTGCAAATTTTTTCTCATTATTTTAAGGGTTTTTTGTTTTGTTTTGTTTTGTTTTTTGGTTTGGTTTTGTTTTTGGTTTTTCCAGACAGGGTTTCTCTGTGGTTTTGGAGGTTGTCCTGAAACTAGCTCTTGTAGACCAGGCTGGTTTTGAACTCACAGAGATCCACCTGCCTATGCCTCCTGAGTGCTGGGACTAAAGGCATGTGCTACTACCGCCCAGATATTTTAAGGTGTCTTAAAGACATTTTATAGTCTTATGAATAACAATATAGCAAGTAATTTTATATACCTTCTATTCCTCTAAAACGAGGAAAATAACATGACACCTCAGAATCAATGAAGAGTCAAATTTTACCACATTTATTCATCTATGAATTTATCCTATGTATAGGTGTACGTGAGATCAGAAAAAATCTGTAGGAGCTGTTTCTCTCCTTCCTTTGTGTACATCCTAGGGATTAAACGTAGGTCATCACACTTGGCAGCACATGCCTTTACCAGCTGTCATTGTGAGGATTAAATAGCTAATAAATATGAAGCAATTAGGATAAAGCCAGTGCTTAGTAAGTGTTATTTTTATTGCCTAATTTGTGACCACACTCAACAGAATTTTGGAAATCCTGATTGACTCCAGGATGTATGTTTTAAAATGAACCATTTAGATTTTCATTGTGGGCTTTCTGGTCTATAGAAAACTCTGTGGAGACAGAAAGCTGTGGAAAAAAAAAAAAACACCCCAGACACTGGGGTCTGAAGAGTTCTATCTCAACTCTGACACTCAGTAAATGTGTGAACTTGGATGCCTTCCTTATTCAATGTCTCTGACTCATGTTTCTCCTACATAAAATGGGGGTCAGAATAGTTTCTGTTTCATGAAGTTGTTGTAAAGATTGATTGAATTAATATATTTAGGCTTGTAAAGGCTATATAAAGCTTTATTATCATTATCACTGACTCTACCATTATTTGTAGCCTATATCTTTAAACTAATACAGGTCCCAAAACAAGGCATTTAAAATAGACAGTGTGATGAGTTCCAAGAGATAATGAATTTTGACACCTTGAAATCTGTGACCATGTTATAATTTGTTATTCAAGAACAAGGCAATGTCTCAGAACCCTGTGGAAGGAGTCCTTATATAAGCTGTGTCTTCATTTCTTTATATAAGTCCACCCAGATCAAATTACAAATTCTATTTTGTAAGAAAGTAATGCTATACCAGCTTCTGAAATAGGAGGAATTAGACTCATCCAACAGAGATGATAGTCTACAAAACTCAACACCTGGTTGCACTTATAGATTCCCTAGGGCACATAGATTCCTAACTGACTTTGGACGGGGACTAACTGAAAATCAATATCTAAACCTTGGGAATTTCAAAGCTTACAGCCTACTCTGGAGACTGTAGTGATTATCTGGAAGCTGTGTAGTGATCCTCATCTAAGTTTTTCTGCCTTTTGAAACTGTGAGAAAGCAGGGCCTGCTGGTTCAAACTCACCATTCAGGAAGCTAAGGCAGGAATATCACAAATTCAGGGCATGCCTGTGGTACAGGTTCAAGTCCAGCCTAAGCAACTCAGTAAAATCCTATCTCAAAATAGAAATTAAAAATTGTGATAGAGGCTAGCTCAGTGGTTAAGAATTTCCCTGGCATACACAAAGTCCAAGGTTGGATAGCTGTACAGTGGAGGTGGGGGAGGGGATAATTGTCAGCTTCCTTCTCCTTCCACCTATTCTCTCTGGTAATTGGATACACAGTCATGGCTTTAGCTTCCATCCTCATGCCAAGAATTATTAAACTGCTGTCTTCATCCTTTCTTCTAAGTACAAATCCTTGTTACTAAGACTTGTCAATACTGTGACAAACACATAAGAAAAACAATTTAGACGGGCCCCGCCCCGCGGGGCTGCCGGGCCCTCAGCCTCAGCCTCAGCCGGGTCAGCAGCCCCTGTGCCGCACTGAGGTGCAGTCTGTGGAGAGCAGAGCATGGTGGCGCATGCCATTCCGTTCATTCCGGCACTCCGCGTGCGGGCAGAGGCAGGAGGATGTCTGTGAGTTCAAGACCAGCCTGCCCTGTGTGGAAAGTTCCAGCCAAAGCTCCTTTTGCAACCCTGTCTCAAAGAGAGGGGGGATAAGATCCGTGAAGGACATGGGTGTGGAAGTCTCTGTTTCCACACCAAACACTTCATAACGTCACCAAAACCGCAACCATGTGCGACCGGAAGGCGGTGATCAAAAATGCAGACATGTCGGAAGAGATGCAACAGGACTCGGTGGAGTGCGCTACTCAGGCGTTGGAGAAGTACAACATAGAAAAGGATATTGCGGCCCATATCAAGAAGGAGTTTGACAAGAAGTACAACCCCACCTGGCACTGCATTGTGGGTCGGAACTTCGGTAGTTATGTGACACATGAAACCAAACACTTCATCTACTTCTACCTGGGCCAGGTGGCCATTCTTCTGTTCAAATCTGGTTAAAAGCATGGACTGTGCCAAACACCCAGTGATCCATCCAAAAACAAGGACTGCATCCTAAATTCCAAACACCAGAGACTGACTCTTCAGCCTTGCTAAGGGAACACCTCGTTCGAATCTGTTGTGTTTTGTACAGGGCATCATCCTCTGTACCAGTTTGTGGTTATAAAATAATTAGTAAAACAGCTTACATTTGTATTTATTTTCTAGTCCATACTTCTGTACCCCGTTTTTTTCTCCCTTAGGCCATTCCTTTGAAAATAAATCTGTTGGAGATGTGAAAAAAAAAATTTAAAATGAAGAGATTCATTTTGGCTCACAGTTTTAGGGTTTACAGTCCAGTCCAGGGTCATCTGAATTCTTTGTTTCTGGGTCACAGGGAAACAGAACATCATGGCAGAAGGGAATGGTGGAATAAAGTTGTTCATTTCATGGTGGTCAGGAAGGAGGGAGCAAAGGGAAGAGGCCAGGGACAAAATATCCTTCAAAGGTATGCCTCTAGATGACCTACTTTCTCTAGCTAGGTCCACCTTTTAAAGTTTCCAGCTCCTGCCCAAACAGCACCCCAGTGAGGACCAAGCCTATAACACATGAACGAGCTTGTGGGAAACACTTCACAGTCAAACCATAGCACAGAACTATATTTTTAGTATGAACCTTGTGGATTTCTCACAGCATCTGCAAATTTCCCAATGTAATTCATTATCTTTATGCTAATGCCTGTTCCTTCTCAATAATTTCATGCATCACTTAATGGCATCTCCTTATTAATAGATGGTCCAAATTGTCTCAACAAATTATAACTCACATGCAGACCATACTGTGAAAAATTTCTGCAAGGACTCTCTAAGATCCAAAATCTCTATCTCCACACAGTAGACCATTCCTTTCAATTACAGTAATATGTCTACCCACACTCTAGGTTTAAAACATGATTTTTTTTAAAACTTAAGACCACTGACTGCTATAAAAATTGATAGGCTTTATAATTATGCATTAACTCTTGAAATTACATGTAAATGTTGTGCACATAAGCAGATTATTTTGTTAATGCTTATATTTCATCAGATAATTAAAACAGACTGTGACCCTGAGGTCTGATCAGCCTTGGAGTATTTTCTCCCAGGTGTCCTTTGCCTCGTTAGTAAGTATCCCTTAACACAGGACTTAGTCCTTGGTTCCTTTGAAGGTGTTCCACAGTCCATTCTATCAATTTCCATATCCAATTCTGGCTTATGTGAAGATCCCAAGTATCTCTGCTCATATGAAAAAGGCAGGAAAATATTCTCAAAAGTTCTTGTTACAGAATTTAGTTATTTGCTTCTAAAGACCTCATCCAACAAGAAGGGTGCATCTCAGTCTCCATAGCTCCCAAAGACAGTGACTCTCTTCCAATAGATCTCAAATCTCAGAAACAAGCTGGGCAAGCCTCACGCAGACTTCTGTAGTTGTCATGCAAGCCTGTAGCCTTCAGGGACAAAGATAGAGTAGTGGTGAGTTTCTTAGTTAACTCAGAACCCAAGCACCCATTCCTTTCAGCAGTTATGCATCCCTTGGAGATATCCAAATGTCACAGTCATTCTGAATAATATGAACATGTCAGGATTTTGCTGGTACCTTAATTCATGACTGGATCATAACCTGAAGTATTTTTATACATCATTCAACTTCAGATTTTATCTGTTACCTAAGCAGACATGTTCTCAGACACAGTAGCTAAAGAACACTCCAACACACACACACACACACACACACACACCACCCTACAAACACACAATCAGAAATGCTTGCACAAATATATACCACTGGCCACATGGTTTTACAGTCTATCTGTGCTCCATGGGCTACTGACCCAACAAACAGGTTTACTGCTCCAAACTATTGACCATTACTTTTGAAAGATATGTCAGTTTTCCCTCTCCAATGTTTAGCTTCCATAGTGGTTGTACTGGCTAAGCTTATATCCACTTGACACAAGCTAGAGTCATTTGGGAAGAGGAAACTTTGATTAAGAATATATCCCCCACCAGATTGGCCTATGGGCAAGGCTTTGTGGTGTTTTCTTGACTGATGATTGATGTGGGATGGCCTAGCTCACTGTGGATGGTGCCACCCTTGGATTGGTGGTCCTGAGAGCTACAAGAAAGCCAGCTGAGAAGGGCATGGAGTGCAAGCCAGTAAACAACTATTCTCCAAGGCATCTGACTCAGCTCCTGCCTTCAGGTTTCTGCATTGAGATCCTTCCCTAACTTTCCTTCATGGTGGGCTGTGATTGGGAAACTTAAGCTAAAATAAACCCTTTTCTCCACAAGCTGTTTTTTGCTAAGGCAATGCTGGAAGATGTAACACAAATAATAAAAACCCAGAGACAGATATTGGGGTTCGAGCTGAAGATCAGAAAAGCAAAGCAGCCAACCACTAGCTCTTACCTCTACCTCAGACTGGATTGGGTGATCCTGTCTCCACAAATCCTTAGAGGCAATATGCAGACTGTACTGCTCCCACCAAGCCTCAGACTACAATCCTGTCCCCTCCCACCTTATAGTCCTCTCTCTGCCTAGCCATATCACTCCTGTCTCTACCTCCCTAGTGCTGGGATTAAAAGCATGTTATTCCAAGTGCTGAGATCACCTTTGTGTGAACCATTTCTCTTTAGGACTGGATTGATTTCATGTAGCTCAGTGTGGCCTTGAACCAACAGAGATCCATCTGCCTCTGTCTCCTTAGTGCTGGAACTAAAGGTGTGCACCACCACCCCACCACTGCCAGATGTGTGGTAGTGTGCAATCATGGATGGATAGTTTCCTGTTGTTCTATTATCCACAATTACCATGAACCTTGGGGCTTACAACAGCTTAAATGTATTATATAGTTCTGAGGAACTGAAAGTCCCAGGGATGCATCCCTTCTGGAGCCTATATGACCATGCCTCTGTTCATGGTTCTTTCTTGGTAGAAATTACCTGTGTTCCCGGACACAATCACCCTTTCCTCTCTTTGAAGTCCATCCTTCCAACCTCTGCTCCCAACATCATCTCCCTTAACCTCTGACCCACACATTATTTATAAATCTCTTCATGATAGCATTTGTCTGACCCAGGTCACTCAAGAGAAGTTCCTCTTCTTTTGGTCCTGATTCAAAGGCCCCTTTGCAAGTCACACATTGTTAAGTATTGGGACAGGAACCCCTCTTGAAGTCTATTATTCTATCCAACTCAATAAAGAACACAATAGTGTTTTCAGTATAAAAGCTTCCCCTTCCCACTACCAGGAGTTTCCTGAGCTCACCAGTTGCCACCAGCAAGCAGTTTATTCATTCCTTGCTTCCCCAGCCTCATACAACCAGCACTGACCCCTTTGATGGAGGTTTTCTTTTAGGTAGAGGATGACAGAGAATTTCAGCATCTTCCTCTCTGCCATAATTAAAGCTTGTTCTAACTGTGTATGGCCTCTTTGGCAACACTATGCTTCTCCCCAGGTGACTACAGTCTTCCCTCCATGTATTAAAATATGCAGCTCACCTGGATGAAAGTTAATTAGCTGATTGGATAAGTGGTTGGGTTCACTGAGTGTGGCATGTTCGAGAGCAACACGTCCATTGATGCAGTTGCAGTGGAGTGAGCAGGGGATAGAATGGTTCAAGGTGAGGCCAAGCAGTCATGGGCAAAGTCACTGAGAGCTTTGGGTTTTCCTGGGCAGGGTGTACTATGGAGAGCCACTGCAGGAGTTTTCGCTTTGTGCAGGGAAGCATGGCAAAGGGACAAGAGTGAATAGTGGAAAACAGCAGGCTGTTGCCAGTAAGTGGGCACTTGTCTGTTTATGATGAGAATGCAATGGAAGAGTCACCAGTAAGGGGACAGCTGAGAGTCCACAGTGTGTGTGAGAAGTGTCTTGGCCTGAGGAGCTCACCGTGGAGCTGGTGAAGACATGTGTGGGAAGGTTTGGAAGACACATTTAATGAGACGGTTGTGTTGTGAGAGGTTTTTACACAAACTAATATAATCTAGCATGTGGTGGTCTTTATCATCTGTGTGAATTAACTGAGGCTGAGAGCAGAGCACTTGTCAGGATCTTAGATTGGCTAAACAGGTTTCAGATCCACCCAGCACCAAACCCACTCCTGCCCTGAAGCCCACTGAAATAGCACTGCCTTGGTTCGGAATGAAAACAACAGATAAGAATATTTGTGGCCATCTTGATGACTTTCCTCAAAACGTATAAGATAGTTGGATTAATGAGCTATGTCAATGAAGAAGTTGGCCTAAATATCAAGAGAAGTTGGCCTAAAATAGTTGGTTGACTAAAATTTCTAAAACTTACATACTCTGAAAAGAGAAATCATTTTATTTAGAAAACCAAAGGCCATAAAAATATTTGGAAAAAAAATGCTTCTTCAACAGTAATTCTTAGGAAATCTGTTAAGAACATGGAACCTGAACATTTATCTCATAGAAAACACCATATGATTACATATGATTATATCAAAGATGCTCATGATAGTACTTCTATAAGAGAAAAATATAAACAGCATTTTCTCTAATTTTTTAACAATATTGGATTAATTAAACATCTTGTGTACATTTCCCCATATTCATAAATTATATATTCAAATATGTGGAAATCTATAGGGAAATGTTTGTGCTATGATGTTAGGGGTATTTTGTTTGTTTGTTTGGTTGGTTGGTTGGTTTTGGTTTTTTTGAGACAGGGTTTCTCTGTGTAGCCCTGATTGTCCTGGAACTCATTCTATAGTCTAAGCTGGCCTCAAACTGAGCAATATGCCTGCCTTTGCCTCCAGAAGTCAGACCCAGGAAAACAAACATGGTATGTATTCACTTATAAGTAGCTGTTACGCAAATGATAACTGAGCTAAAATCCACAGACCCAGAGAAGTTAGGTAAAGAGGAGAGATTAGAGAGGGACATATGTATCTCCCTGGGAAAGAGGAATAGAACATGTGAGTGGACTGGGGGTGGAAGAGGACTGGAGCAGGAAGGGATCAGGTAGAAGGGGAAATGGGATGGAATGGAAGGAGAGAGTTCTAGTCTATTTGATTTTTCCACCTCTATTCTATTACAACTCATCTTCCACAAGTGAGTCAAAATGAAGATGGATGGGGAAAGCTGACAGCATTTCCTCCAAGATCTAACCAGATGAGCTGCCCACACTCACTGGCCTTGTTCACT